GTAAAAGTTGTATGATGATGATTAGTAGGACTTGTTAGGATTAGTATTACTTCCGACAAACTCGATACTCGCGGTCTCGAGACTTGTAATGTTTTATCTTTGTTCGGTCTTTTGAATTCGGAGACTAATATGATGAATTGTATTCGGAGACTAATCTTCTATTGTATTCGATGAATCTGATGTTGCTGTGTGCTGCTGTCTATATTCTGTTCAATAATATATTTTGTAACCTGTGCAAAAATCAGAAAAGCAAAAAAAAACAACCTAATATTCATACTAATGGCGCACCACACAAGACACTAATGGCGCACTGTGATCATCACACTAATGGCGCATTAACTGCTGGTGCGCCATTAGAATGCCAAAGCACATGGGTACAAATGGCCCCCTGGGAGACATTCTAATGGCGCACTGCAGGCTATACTAATGGCGCACTATGTGGTGCGCCATTAGAACACCAGATACTAATGGCGCACTGGTGGTGTGCCATTAGAATTTAATTCTAATGGCGTGATGCCAGTGACGCACCGGTAGTGCGCCATTAGAAGGCAAATTCGGTGCGCCACTAACATGCCTTTTCCTAGTAGTGCCCTGTTCGTTTAATGGGGATAACACCCCCCCTACTAAACTAACCACACCAACCCTCCCTCTACCACTGGCCCGTGGGCCCAAGGCCATTAAGTTAGTTTAATTAGGTAACAGTTTAATTACCCCCTGTGACTTTTACATGTGGGCCCGCCAACTAATTAGAGAAATTAAGTTAAATAAAGCCTCCTAAATACATGTGACACTTACAGGTCCCCTGTCCAGTTTGACCAGTCAAACTGTTGACTGGGTTGACCCAGTCTATGACATGTGGCCCCGTTTGACCCTGTTGACCAGTCAAACTATTGACTGGTCAACTACTGACTCAACCCCCCTAGACCCCACCAGTCAGCCTCTGTAGCTAGCACATGGTTGGGTACATTTAGTATTTTCTGTTTATTTGCGGATTAAAATAATTTTAGAATATTGTTTAAATCTTTGAAAATTCATAGAAAATAATCCGTAAGTCAGATGAAAAAGTTTTCTATATGAAAGTTGCTCAAAAAAATCCAACGAATCCGAATATGCGGTCCGTTCATCTGTCACATGCCCCTAGCATGCTAAATATGGAACTTTCCCCCTCCGGTCATCTGTCTGACACAGGTCCGGAATCGGGAACACCTTCCCGGTTGAATTCTCCCTTCACCTATAACGTCTAGGACCGCGTTAGAACACGTCTAGCTATGCCTGTTGTCCTGTTATACACTTGCTTGCTATGTATTTACTGTTTCTCCCCCCTCTTCTCTTCAGTAGACCCCGTGGCGGCTGCTGATGCCGTTGTGATCGACTACGTCACCGACGACCCCTCCTTCTTGTCTGAGCAACCAGGCAAGCCCCCCCTTTGATCATCCCGATATCGCCCATTTCTTTCCCTCTCATGCTTTCATTAGAACCGCTACTGCTTTCTGTATGATCCTACTCTGATGCATAGCCTGTTGTTGTTACCTGCTTTCATACCTTAGCTGCTTATCCTAAACTGCTTAGTATAGGTTGGTTAGTAATCCATCAGTGACCCCACCTTGCCCCAGTTGCCCCGCTTTATGTTCGATGACTCGATCAACGTGATCGACGTCCAGGCCCCGACACCGCACATCACCCCCCTTAGTTGTACGACTCTGTAGAGTTTCCATCAAGTGCCGAGGGTGGAACCTCTTACATCACTCATGATGAGACCTCTATAGTGTAGCTATATGATCATGGTCATCGAGGGTGATTTCCTCCTTAACCACTTCCGTTACGGCTCTGTCGTGCAACCCCTCAAGTGTGAACCTCGAGGGTGGATCCTCTTACGTTCACCTTGATGATAACATCGAGTGGATTTCACCGGGGGTGATTCCTCAGGTTTTCCCCTTGGTGTTAGACACATAGTTACTATGGTTACTATGACTTTGCACTGAGCCATGTTACTAAAGACGGGTCGGCCCTGAGGGGTACCAGCGCGAGCTTAATAGCGAGTGATGTGGAGTCGGGTTGACCTGGAAGGTGCCCGCGAGATACTTACGAGGCGTGGCCGAGCATTCTTAGCCCTTGCCGCAAGTACTCGAGACGGGGCGACGGGGTCACATCGATCGTGAGTCTCTGCTCGTTACTGCGTGCTCCTAATCCACTACGATTTGGATATTTGATCTGAGGGGCCTCTGGCCTGATAGCACTAACCATCACGTGGGCATAGTATGGGCGTTCTGCGTCGTATACATCAGCCGAAGCTTAATAGACGTCAGCGACTGAGTGGCGCGCGCCGGGTTGGACTGCGTAAGCTCCTGCCTTGTTGAAGGAGGTAGCTAGGTCTGCTCACCGGCCGCCCGCGCAACGTGCAGGAGTTCCCGTGGAGATGGCCCATGACCCCTGGGGGCATAGGTTTAGTCCGGCGTGCTGGCCTCTCTATTAATCCTAGGTCGGGTTGCGGCGTATTGTTTGGCCGAGGCCGGGCATGACCCAGGAAAGTGTGTCCGGCCGGAGTTAATCGAGCGTGGTGGGTAAGTTGGTGCACCCCTGCAGGGAAGAAAACATCTATCGATAGCCTGTCCTACGGTAACAGACACTTGGAGTTGTATCCCGATCGATACAAGTAGAACTGAATACTTGTGATGAGAAATGGATGGATATGAGAAATGGATTTGATGAATGGATAGTATGGCTCTGGGATTGCTTTCTCGCAGGGAGTCGAGAAAGGATCTCTGGCCGAGGTTGATAACACTACTACTTTACATTATGTTGATCTGTACTCTTCTATATGCTGTAAGATGCTTGGAGATGCTAGTCTTCGATAGGCTAGGCCTTTCCCCTTCCCTTCTGGCATTCTGCAGTTTAGTCCACAGATACAACCCATTCCTTTGATACAGATGCATACTTAGTTTAGATCTGATGTAAGTCTTGCGAGTATTTTGGATGAGTACTCACGGTTGTTTTGCTACTTCTTTTCCCCCATACCCAATTGTTGCGACCAGAAGACGGATCCCAGGAGCCAGACGCCGCCGCCGATGACTACTACTGCCCGAAGGATGCCTACTACTACGTGAAGACCGCCGACGACTAGGAGTAGTTAGGAGGCTCCCAGGCAGGAGGCCTTGCCTTTTCGATCATTGTTGCTTTTGTGCTAGCCTTCTTAAGGCAAATTTGTTTAACTCATGTCTGTACTTAGATATTGTTGTTTCCGCTGACTCTTGTGTTTTCGAGTTTATGTATTCGAGCCCTCAAGGCCACTGGCTTGTAATATAAAGCTTGCATTTATTTTAATTTGTGTCTAGAGTTGTGTTGTGATATCTTCCCGTGAGTCCTTGATCTTGATCGTACACATTTGCGTGTATGATTAGTGTAGAATTGAATCGAGGGCGTCACAGCAATCACCTAGTAGCGCAGGATATTGTCATCACATGCACGCCTGAACAGTGAACCCCCATATTAGAACGTGGTGGGTCGATGTTGTCAGCCCGTGTACCTACTAATGGAATCATGATCACCGACGTCTCACCCCCAGAGACCGTCGACCCAGACAGAAAAATCGCCGTCACGGCTGCACATCCATGCCCTCCACCTCAAGTCGCCGTTCGTATATCGCACGTTCGGAGTAACGCCACCAAATGTCGGACCAGGCCCGATCGGCGCCCTCGCAACAACAAGTACCACGCCGACGAGAGGAGCCATCGCGCCGCCAGCCGTCACAGCACCGCCAGATTTGGGCCACACTCTCACCCAATGGTTGCCGCCACCATGAACGCGCCCCATCGCATCCTGGCGCAGGACCACGCGACCGCACCTCTGCGCCTGACATCCGCTCGCGCCACTCTCTTCAGAGTCGCACACTGTTGCCGCCCTCGCATCACCAGGCAAGCCTCCCCGCAAGCCGCCCGCGAGAAACGCCTCGCCCCCACCTTCCCTGGCGCCTGCTCGGGCTTTGCCGGTAGCCCTCGAGTGATGACGCGACAAGATGAGAGGAGGGGGGAGGGCCTAGCGGCATCGGCGGCGGCTAGGGTTCCTCCGTGCCGCTAGGGTAGGTGATGCGGTGATGAGGCCTCTTTTTTTTCTATCTGAATCCAGTTCCTGTTGGCCGAAATTATTAGGCAGTTGACATGCAATTAAGCTCTAGGGAGCTACATACCGCTGCCACACGCCGTGCACGAGTAATGCTAGACCAACTTAAAGTACAATTTTTATTACGTGATAGCAAACCTGTAGACTTGGGATTGGATTGAAGGGGGTGGGAGGGGCCCACACCCGTAAAAATCAAGGGCCGATAGAATAAATTAGGCAGGTTACATAGGATTTTGTAGATGAATTACATAGGCGTAGCATTTTCGCCATCACTTCGTGCGTCAATGGTGATAGCGCCCACGGCGGTGCCGACTGTTGATGTCCGCGTTGCCAAGCCTCGTTACCAATACCACCTCATATCGATCAATCCACATGTTGAACACCATTATGGTCTACGTATCCATGCTGTGTTCTTCTTTCTTTTTTTCGACACATGAGCAAGCATTTGACCCTGGGTTATTAATATATTTTCCTGGGAATTTAGAGGCCGACGCACGACCCCACGATACTCCATGATCTATCATCATGGTGTACGCGTGAAGTACTACAAAAATGACAAGGAAATTAAGGTATCCTTGCTAACGCATTATCTCCATCGTCGATCATAAATTTGGTCAAGGCAATTATACGCGTACGGAGTACAAAAACACGCATCTATGTGCTGTAGAAGAATGACACGGAAACTCAGCTGTCTAGCTAAGCAAATTCATGCTTCATGTTGATTTATGTTCGCGTGCGTACTATATATATACCCCGCCTCGCGCTCCATATCATCATCAACCGCTTCAAGGCACACAAATCAAGCTGCCAGATCCCAACTAGCTAGCTAGTCAGCTGCAAAACATAGTGAAAAGGAAGCAAGACCGACGAATACTCACTCGATCATGGTGGCCATGGTGGTGCCGTCGGTGTTCGCCGCCTTCGACAAGGACGGCGACGGCAAGGTGTCCGCGTCCGACCTGCGGTGCGGCATGGCGGCGACCCTGGGCGAGGACGTATCGGAGGAGGAGGCGGCAGTGATCCTGGCCGCGGTGGACGCCGACGGCGACGGGCTGCTGAGCCAAGAAGAGTTCTCGAGGCTAGCCGCCGGTGCCCACGAAGAGGACGACGTTGACGTGAGGCAATGCTGTCTGAGGGAGGCGTTCGGGATGTACGCATCATCATCCACGGAAGCCACGACGACGACGATGATTACGCCGGCGAGCCTGAGGCGGACGCTGAGCAGGCTGGGCTCTCACGAACTGGGCGTGGACGAGTGCACGGCAATGATCTGCAGATTTGACCTCGACGGCGACGGTGCCCTCTCGTTCGATGAGTTCCAAGTCATGATGATGGCCTGATCATCGACTCTCTTCATGGCATTTTTCAAGACAGATATAGTGTTCACTTAATTCATGGATCGATCACATTCACATACTATGTACGTGTTCATTCTTTCTTTGTTTTGCTCGCACGATAACCCTTGATTTCTATGGATACGTGTACAGATTCATTTGGAGTTAATGTTCTGCAAACTCGGCAGTGTCGAATAATATCATTTGGAGTTAATGTTCTGCAAAGTCGGCAGTGTCGCAGCTACCAGTACATCTACAACCGGTCCTCTCAAACGGTCCTCGGACATCCAAGGGAACAGTCTAATCACTGCTGCTGTCCTTATATGAGTTGAAAACTATTCTCATTGATTGATCACAGGTGTTACAGAGTACAACATATATGGAGAGTGTGGAGTTGCCAAACGCCCCTATAATGGTGGCACGCAGGCCAGGCGTGGCTGACTCGGTCACATAAATTACATACAAGAGGTGATACAGAATACATACGCTAACACCCTCCTCAGCCGGAACTCCATTTGGGAGGATGTTCAGGCTGGAGCGAAAATCAAAAAACACCTGTGATGGTAACCCCTTGGTGAAAACATCGGCAAACTGCGAGCTCGATGGAACATGAAGAACGCGAGCCTCGCCAAGAGCCACTCTGTCACGAACGAAGTGCAAGTCGATCTCGATATGCTTGGTGCGTTGATGCTGAACGGGGTTACAAGCGAGATAGGAAGCACTGATGTTATCACAATATACAATGGTGGCTCGGGTGGGCGGGTGTTTAAGCTCAAAGAGAAGCTGGCGCAGCCAACAGGACCCGGCGACACAATTTGCAACACCTCGATATTCCGCTTCGGCACTGGAGCGGGAGGTGGTGGCTTGCCTCTTGGAGGACCAGGAGACGAGGTTGGAGCCGAGGAACACACAAAACCCAGAAGTGGACTTTCGTGTGTCCGGGCACCCCGCCCAATCAACATCAGTGTAAGAGATGAGATCTGTGGTGGAGGACTTGTATAACGGAAGTCCGTAGTGAGAGGTACCCCGGAGGTAGCGAAGGATCCGCTTCACGAGCTGCATATGAGTGTCGCGAGGGTCATGCATGAAGAGGCATGCCTGTTGAACGTCATAGGAAATATCTGGACGCGTGAGAGTGAGATATTGGAGGGCGCCGGCAAGGCTGCAGTATAGTGTGGGGTTAGAGAGAGGCTGGCCATCATGAGAGGAGAGTTTGGAGCTTGTGTTGACGGGCATTGAAATGGGCTTGCAGTTAAGCATGTTGGCCCGTTCCAAAATCTCGAGAGTATACTGTTGTTGGCATAGGAAGAGACCGGACGTGTTGGGGGTGACATTGATGCCCAAAAAATGATGGAGAGCACCGAGATCGGTCATGGAGAACTCGCGTTTGAGCGAGTTAATGACGGAATGGAGTGTGGTGGGAGTGTTTGCCATGAGAATGATATCATCGACATAGACCAACAAGTATGCAATGGAGGCGCCATGGTGAAGAACAAAGAGTGAGGAGTCACTCTTGGTGGCACGAAACCCGAGGGAGAAAAGATACGCTTGGAACCGAAGGAACCAGGTGTGGGGGCCTGTTTGAGGCCGTAGAGAGACTTGCGAAGGTGGCAAACGTGGTCCGCCGAGAGGAGTCGACAAACCCCGCAGGTTGAGAGCAATACACCATCTCATGAAGATCGCCATGAAGGAAGGCATTCTTCACATCGAGCTGATGAATAGGCCAGGAGTGGGAAGTAGCGAGGCTCAGAACCACTCGAATGGTGGCCGGTTTGACAACCGGGCTGAAGGTCTCGCCATAATCAACACCCTCTTGCTGAGTGAAACCGCGAACAACCCATCATGCCTTGTAGCGAGCCAAAGAGCTGTCCGAGTGGAACTTGTGACGAAAAATCCACTTGCCCGTGACCACGTTGACACCTGCAGGCTTAGGCACCAAAGACCAAGTAAAGTTGTTCATTAAAGCATTGTACTCTTCTAGCATGGCTTGTCGCCAATGGGGGTCTTTGAGTGCAGACTTGTATGTGGATGGGATGGGTGAGATGGAAGGAGTAGTGATGTCCGCGAGGAAAAGGCGTTTAGGCATGAGATAGCCGGTTTTGGCTCGAGTGGACATGCGGTGTGCATTGTGGGGTGGCTGTATGGGTATGGCGTGGCGGGGCAGACGTGGCTGGGTGGGAGTGGTCGGCACGGAGGAAGAGGTGGATTCGCTGGGCACTGGCACAGTGCAGGACGTTGGATCCAAGGCGGATTCGTGGGCAGCAGATGAGGCAGACGCGACCGTGCGGGAGACAGGCGCGGGGGGCGAGAAGGGTCCACCGGACAAGGTGGGGGGCGAGTGCGAGCGAGCCGCGTGGGAGGTAGGTGCGGGAGGCGAGCCTGGGCCGGGGGAAAGTGACAGGCTGGTGGCTGCGGGCGAATCGGCTGGGCCCGGGGAAAGCGACGGGCTAGTGGCGTCAGGCGAATCGGGGAGAGGCGCCGAGCCAGGGGGTGGAGGTGGGATGCGGTGGGGCCCGGTGGGTGGGATCGCACACGGATCTAGAGGCGGGGGAGGATTGGCCGGTGGGATCGGCACGAGATCCAAGGAGGGCAGCGGGATGGAAGGATCTGCATGGGGATCTTCTATGGAGGGGGGTTTCTCGTGCTAAGATGTGGCAGGCTAATACGGAAACGTGGTTTCGTCAAAAACGACGTGGCGAGGTACGATGACGCGGTGTGATGCAAGGTCGTAGCACCTGTATCCTTTGTGTTCTAGGGGATAACCTAAGAATATGCACCGAGTGGAGCGGGGAGCTAGCTTGTGAGCGGAGGTGGCATACAAGTTGGGGTAGCATAAACACCCAAAAACGCAGAGATGGTCGTAGGTCGGGTGGATGCCGTGGAGAAGAAAGTAGGGAATGTGAGAAGCAATGGCACGAGAAGGGCGCCGGTTGAGCAAGTAGGTGGCCGTGTGGAGGGCTTCTACCCAAAATGGAGGGGTGAGATTGGCTTGGATAAGTAGTGTGCGGATGATGTCATTCGTCGTGCGAATGAGGCGCTCGGCATTGCCGTTTTGGGGAGAGGTATGGGGGCAAGAGAAGCGGTAAGCAATGCCATGGGAGGAGAAAAATGAATGGAGGGAGGTGTTGATGAACTCACCACCATTATCGCATTGCATGCTTTTGATGAGCACGTGAAATTGTGTTTGCACGAAGGCAAAGAAGCGTTGGAGGACGGTGGAGGTGTCGGACTTGTGGCGGAGGGGAAAAGTCCAAGAGTAATGTGTGTAATCATCCAACACGACAAGATAATATTGATAGCCTGAAAAGCTTACAACTAGGGACGTCCATAGATCACAATGAATTAAGTCGAAAGGAGAAAACGTTTTGCTAGTAGACGAAGGAAAGGGAAGACGTGGCTGGCGACCTAATTGACAAGCGCTACATAGAGTATGTGGTTCTTTATTACAACCAGTGAGAAAATCATGAGGGAGGGAGGAAAAACTATGAGCGTCGGGGTGACCAAGGCGCCGATGCCACACATCCGATGAGGTGGTGAGGAATGTCGACGCCCTGGATGGAGTGGTGCCGGTGAAGGGGTAGAGATCGCCGGTGCTAGCAGAGATCATGAGAATTCTCCGAGTGCGTAGATCCTTCACAAGAAAACCACAGGGGGAAAATTCAACAGAGCATGAGTTGTCAGTAGTGAATTTGCGAACGGAAATAAGGCTAGTGACAACAGTAGGGGAAATAAGAATGTCAGTGTGGAAAAAATCGTGAGGGGTGAGGGTGGTGGATCCAGTGGCGGTGACCGGAAGCTGTTGCCCATTGCCGACAAGAATAGAAGAAGGAACACGCTTTAATGAAGAACGAGACATGGTCAAGTTACCTTGGGTGCCGGTCACGTGCGAGGAGGCGCCAATGTCCATGTACCACTCGGGGCGGGGTTGTGGGGGAAGCCGGAGTTGCTGTAGGCGGCGTTCAGCATGGCGAGGTGCTCCCACGATGGCTGCTGAGGTGGGTAGTACGGGGATGGAGGCGTCGGCGGGTACATGTTGTAGGCCTGAGCATGGGCACCTGGACGGGGGCTGAGGACGCCAACGGCGTTGGGAGGAACCCAACCGGGGCGCGGCGACGGGAGCGCCATGCCATACGGGGCGAAGTACCCGGTGAAGGGCGCCGGCAAGGGCGCTTGGTGACCGCGCGCAGAGTAGTCGCCACGTCCACGACCGCGTCCTCGGCCACGTCCGCGACCACGATCACCGCGACCGCGATCAGAGTGCGGCTGGGCGGGAGGAGCCGGGGCACGATCAGAGGGAGGCCGGTCGGAGGAGGAGCCGCTCGGGGGGCGATCGCCAGAGCCGCGCGAGCCGGAGCCAGAGCCTCTGGCTGGGCCGCGGTCACCGCCAGAAAGAGCGAAGGCCGAAGCGCTCTCTTCGGCGGCGTGCTGCGCCTGAGACTCCTCGGCCAGAACCACCCATGAAAGGACAGTGTCGAACGGGAGGCCCTGGTCCCCGAGGACGACGCGGATGGTGTCGAGGCACTTGTCAAGGCCATGGAGAAACTGAGTGGTGAGGTCGGTCTCGGTGACGGCGTGGTTGATGTTCGCGAGGCGATCGGTGAGGAGCTTCATACAGTGCGCATATTCGGCCACAGGAGATCACCTTGCTTGAGATTGCGATATTGCCGGTTGAGAATCATGTACCGAGCATCGCGATTGGCGAGGAAGAAGTCGCGGATCTTCTTCCAGAGGGCATAGGTGGTGGTGGCGCCGACGACGTGGTCGACCACGGGGTCCACGAGAGTGGCGTAGATCCAAAGAGCGACGTGGTCATCAAGCTCGTGGTAGGAGGCATCAGCGTTGGGGGAAGCGGGTGCTCGATGAGTAAGAGGACGCCGTAGCGGATCATCACCATGAGGAAGAAGGACTTCCACTTGTGGTAGTTGTGGTCGGCTGGGTTGAGGAGAAATTTGATGTGATGCGTGATGTGGTCGGAGAAGATGGGGTGGCGAGATGCCGGCGGTGGC